GAGCTCTGGTGGCTTAGTGTCAAGAAGCTGCACTGCAATCCCAGAGGTGTGCGGTTTGAATCCACCAGATTCTCTGCTGGGGAAGGAGGGGCAATCTCCTCCTGTACCAGTCAGATCCGATTTGGTGATATACACAAACAAACAAACAAACAAACAAAAATAGAAGAGAAGCCTTTAACAAACAGTCCCATTTTATAAGTGAGAAAACTGAGGCTAAATGAAGTTTAGCTAGATCAGGGCCACACTGACTTAAAGAATTAGATCTTTCAGGGCACGTCTGGCAAACTTTAAAAACCATCAAACTATACCGCACTCTGTACTATTACTGACTTTGTTCTTAACTCATTTCTAAGCTCAGACAAGTCTTTAGAACTAACTAACTTTTTTGCCTGAAGACTCCTTCTGAGTATCAGTGCTAGTGGGATTTGCCCATTGGCTCATGTGGGCATTAATGGACCCCCCTCTTCATCTGCAAAGCACTTGCTCCTTCTGGAACTGAGGTGCAGGATGAAAGGGAAGCCACGGCAGGTGGCTGAGAGGGGAATGCTCTTACTGGGGCGCCTCACTGCTCACCGGCTAGAATGGCCCAAGCCATCGAGCGCTATCTGCCCTCCCTGCTATCCAGCAACCAAACCCATCAACCAGCCAACAGCAAAATTAGCTAAAGAGAAGACTAAGTGAAAAGAGACATAAACACTGCACTTTGCTTGACCTTTAAACAGATCGCTGCATGACTGCTTTCCAGTTTGGAAGTCAAATGAAATGGTGCGTGCATACAGATGAGCCCTCTGTGCGGAGCCAGGCAGACAGCAGCGGCCCAAGCAGACTCTGAATGGAGAGCTGCCCACATCGGTTCCTGAGACCATCTTTAAACCTCAAGTCAGAAAGATCCCCTCAAGTCTTCTTAAAATAAAATAATAGCGCCATTTCTAAAAATTGTCTCTCTTGTCCTTTATGCTTTTAAGATCAAATTGACAACAGCGACTCTGAAGAAGAGAGAGTAGCCTTAGGGGGCAGGGAGTTTATGTTAATGGAGAAGGAACACCCCAGAAGGAGAGTGAGAATGGCTGTGCGATGCAATCAACGTCACTGGATTGTAAATGTGAAAACTGCTGGCCTGGGCTATGCACTGCTGTGTATCTTCTCAACAACAACAACATGAAACAACAAAAGAAAGAAGTGGAAGAAGAAACACCAATGATGCTTCAAGAGACATCAGAGAATTACCCATGATTATGCGGGAGAAGGCTGGGCAATCTTCTTCTGTGTGATTAACTGCCTCTGAAAACCCGCTGGAGGGTCAGCTATGGGTCGGTTCTGACTCAACTTGATGGTACTCAACAAAATAAACCAAAAAACTGAAGATCAGGCACCTCCCTGGGCTCTCAAGCCTGAGTGAATATTAAAATCACCTGAGAAACTGAAAAGATCTGGTGTCTGGCATCCACCCCAAAGTGACAAAGTCAGAACCTTTGAAAGGGAGGAGCAAGTTCGCCGTAAGCACAGACGAGAGCCTGGAGGGGCAGCAGCCTGGTGAGGGTGGGAGAGGCAGCACAGGACAGCGCAGTGGGAGGCCCTGAAGCCGGCAGGGCCTCTGGGCACTAAGGTAGGTGTGATTACTGTTCCACTCTGGGGTCACTGTTAGCTGCCGTGGAGTTGGTCCTGACTCACGGTGACCCCACGCACACACAGCCGAGTCCTGTGCCATCTGAATGATTGATTATGGATTGATCCCTTGTGGTCCATGGAGCTTATTACAGGCTGATTTTTCACAAATTGTCTGCCAGGCCTTTCTTCCTAGTCTTAAAGTCCAATGAAAGCTGCTCAGGTCCTAAAAGCCTCCACTGGGGGTAGCTGCACATAAGGTGTGCTGGCTAGGACTTGAACTTTTCACAGGCTTTCATAACTTTGAAGTAGTGTTTGTATATCCAGAAGGTGCCAGCAGTGAACTTGCTCCCTTTCAACCCAAAGTTCTAAAAGCACCACCTCAATGCATTCCTCCAGGCCACACAGGTATCTCTGTTTCTAAGCATATATTTTTATATTGATCCAAACTGATGGTTCTGCAATGTTCTTTCTCCTCACCTGAGGATGGATCATGAACCTCCCTCCAGGTTGTTGGTAAAGTAAGAGAGGCTACACTCATGCCGTCCAGTCATCAAAAATCAGAGCACTGTTCTCTAGTGGCTGAATGGAATGGCATTCACCGCAGTTAAGGTGGAAGGCAGAGACCTTAACAGAACGTAAAGGTGATCTTATTTTTAACAAAATATGTATCTGCTTGCTTACTTTTCCAATTTTGTTATTGTGTACTGTCCTGTACTGCACAGTCAGAGCCGACCCACAGCTGACCCCCCAGCAGGGTTTCAGAGGCGGTTAATCACATGGAAGGAGATCGCCCCTTCCTCTCCCGAGGAGCAGATGGTGACCTCAAACCAAGTGCCTTTGGGATTGCAGTACAGCGTCTTGCCGGTAGGCCACCAAAGCTCCATCTTTTTGTAATAGTACTGAAAAAAGTATGACAGGATTTTTCCGTTTATTATATCCTCAAATCCCTTTGAACTGTGGTGTTTGAGTTGCTATTGTTGTTGTGTACCATCAAGTTGGAACTGACCCACAGCTGACCCTCTGGTCAGTTTTCTGAGGCAGGTAATCACACCAGGGGAGACTGCCCATCTTGGTGAATTCTAACTGGAAAACCTTTGGGATTGCAGCACAGCTTCTGACCACTAGGCGAACGGAACTCCTTCAGAAAGTAAACTGAGTCCCCCAAAAAAGATGACTGAAGTCTTCACCCTGTACTTGTGAGGTGACTTTGTTTAGAAATGGTTTTTCCTTGAAGATGTCATTTAGTGAGATCATACCAGAATAGAGTGGTTTCTAAACTCTTTCTGAGCAATGTCTAATATAAGGGAAAAAGAGCCCTGGAGACCGGCACCCAGGGAGAAGACAGACACCACTGAGGATGCCGCTGAAAGTCATGGAACACCATCAACACTGGGACTGCCAGAGTTGGAAGAACTACTTCTTGTAGACCTGGTAGAAAGGACAGTCCTGCCACGGCCCTGGATTTCGACTTTCAGCCTTTAGAGCTATTAGACTTCTGTTCTTTAAACCCTCTTTGTAGTATTTGGCTATGACAACCCTTAGGAAACTAAAGTAGATGGTTGTTATTACGTGCCATCGAGTCACTTGCGACTCACAGTGACCCTGTGTACAACAGCTCTAAACCCTGCTCTATCCTGAGCCAATCTTATTGTCTCTGACACACCCACCCCCATTATCCTGGTCACTGAATCAATCCATCTCATTGAGGATCTTCCTCTCTTGTGCTACCTGTCCACCCTCCCAAGCATGATGTCCCTTTCCAAGGACTGGTCCCTATTTTCAACATGTCCAAAGTATGTCAGACGAAGCTTCAGAATCGTTGACTCCAAGGAGCAGCCTGGTTTCACCCTCTCCATAGCAGTTTGTTCTCCTAGCAGTCCATGGTATATTCAATATTCTTCTCTAGCACCACAGCTCAAAGGTATCAATTCTCCTTCGATCCTCCCTAGTCATTTCCCAGTTTTATGATGCATAGCAAGTAATTACAAAGACTATGGACTGGATAAGGTACACCTTAGTCTTCAAACTGATATCATTGTTCTTTAGTACTTTGGAGAGGTTCCTGATAGCCAACTTTCCCAATACAAGTAATCTTTTAATTTCCTGGTTGCTGGCACCAAAGTACTGACTGTGGAGCCAAGCAAACTGATGCTGTTAACAATCTCAATCTCTTCACTGCCTATCATGATGCTACCAATAAGCCCAGGGGTAAGAATCTTTGTTTTCTTGATGTTGCGCTTCAATCCATATTGAAGGCTGCACCACCAAAATATGAGCAGTGGTCCAAGTTCTGGGTTTCCCTCCCTTTTTGTGGCTTTTATACTAGTTTTCCTAGTACACTAGGAGTATTTACAAATACACAGTCATTTAAAATTTAAAAGGAAAAAAGATGAAAGTAAATAGGACAAAATGACAACCTGAGCTTGTGAGAGATCTCACTTGTTTTACTGTTCTTGAGCCTTGAGTATTTGCTGTATTGTTCTTGTATTTTAACGTGGTGGTTGCTTCTGCTTCTGAGGAGGTGGGAAATGGCAGGCAAAAACGCAACCTAAGTTTAGTTGCGCCATCCAACAACTCAGAAGAGTGGACTCCTCCACACGTTGCTGTTGTGTGTGTCCAGTAAATTTCCATTGCTAGTGGACCCATGTGACAGAGAAGAATTCCCCCAGATGGTTTTCTAAACTGTAACCTTTATAATGGACACACAGTCAATAAAGTACAGAAAAGACATCCTTCTCATATTCTCTGCTTCCAGCCAATAGCTATCTGACAAGGACTTGGAGGCAAAAATGATAAAGCTTTGTCTCTCATACTTTGGGCATGTTTCTAGGCAAAGCTCTTCATTGGAGGTTAGGATGCTTGGAAAGGTAGAGGGTTGGTGAAGGAGAGGAAGACTCTCAGTGAGACAGACTGACCCAGTGACTGCAGCAGTGGGCTCCAGTGTGTCAGGGTTAATGAGGATGGCACAGGGTAGGACAGGGCTCAGATCTTTCATTCATAGAGTTGCTGTGAGTCAGACTTGACTTGATAGCACCTAGGCAATGGCTGGGTTTGAACTGTTCACTTTCTGATAAGCATCCATGCACTTAACTCTGTGCCACTTGCTCTCATAACACACTGATGGACATCACATTTCCAAAATAATGGGGTATTCTCGATATTGCATAACTTTAAAAACAAAGCCTTTTGATAAAGGGTGACCCTGGATTTGTCCCTGAAGGAGGGAAGCGGCCATGTGAACCACACACCATCATTTCTGTCACTCCGGTGTAGAAGTGTGATATTCAACTGCTTCTACCACAGAGCAACTGCTTCTACGTAGGGGGCTTCCCTTTAGGTCTGGAAGTGGGCTTTTTCTGAATCAGCTGAAGACTTGGAATCAAGCAACTAACCTTTTTGTTCTTGTTTGCTCCAGAAACCTCTGACTCGCTGGTGAATGTGCTCGTTTTCACTAAGTTTCTTCTGCCACTGACGTAGTTCTTGGATCTCCGGGCTGCAGCGAGCCTGGAAAACGTCCACAAAGCTTCAGTTTGCTTTCTACACACTGCCCACACGTCAGCACATTAAGCCTGCGTGGAGCCACCTTCACACACCAGTAGATTGGTTAACCTCTGATTCTACAAGATCATTGTTCTACATGACTCTCCCTTGTTGTTGTTACTGTTATGCACTGAGTTGCCTGTGACTCCTATCGACCCTCTGTATAACAGCTCTGAAGCCTGCCTGTCCTGAGCCCATCTCATTGACTCCGACACACCGACTTCCACTGCCCTGGTTACTATGTCAATCCATCCCATCCAGGGTCTTCCTCTCCTGCACTGCCCCTCCACCCTTCCGAGCATGATATCCTTCTAGAAGGAGTGATACCTCCTGGCCATGTGTGCAAAATATATGAGATGAAGCTTCAAAATCCTAGCCTCCCAGGAGAAACTTGGTTTCACCTTCTCCAAGATAGACCTATTTGTTTTCTTGGCAGTCCATGATATGTTCAAGACTCTTCTTCAGCACCACAATTTGAAGGCATCAATTCTTCTGCCATCCTTACTCACTGTCCAGCTCTCTGATGCATAGCAAGCAATTGCAAAGATGACTGGATCAGGCACGCCTTAGTCTCTAGACTGACAGCACTGCTTCTCAGTACTCTGCAAAGGTCCGTGACAGCAGATTTACCCAAATCCCCCTTGAAAATAAAAACCCAAACTCAACGCCATCAAGTCAATTCCTACTCATGGCAACCTTCCATGGGATTTCTAACTCTATAAATTTTTATGGGTGAAGACTACTCACTTTTCCCTTACAGAGCAGGTGGTGGATTTGAACTGCTAGCCTTTTGGTTAGGAGTGCAATGAGCTACATACATACTGTGCCACAGGAGCTCTTCCCTAGAGCCCCACCAGGTTTGAGGTGATTTGCTATATTAACGGCAGGTTGAGAACACCCTGGAGCTGTACTATCTGATGGAAATATAACAGTCATCCATATGTGTCATCTCAAATTTTCTTGCCACCGCAATATATAAAGTAAAAAGAGACAGGTGAAATGACATCTTTCTCTATTCTGGGTTTCAGTTTTTATAGCCACTGTTGTCAAAGTTTACACAGGACATTAACACTCAATAATTCATACCCACTATGTTTCATGACATTCACTGCAATTCCCACATTGTAGCAACATGCTTCCAACTTTAAGGATGTGTTTCATTTTCCCTAATGTATCTAAACTATGATCAGGGATGATGAAAGGAGAATTGATGCCTTTGAGCTGTGGTGCTAAAGAAGAGTATTGAATGTACCATGGACTTCTAGAACAGACAGGTTCATCTTGGAGAGGGTGAAACCAGGCTGCTCCTTGGAGGCAAGGATTCTGAAGTTTTGTCTGACAAACTTTGGACATGTTGTAAGGAGGGACCAGTCCTAGGAGAGAGACATCATGCTTGGTAGAGTGGAGGGACAGCGCAGGAGGGGAAGACCCTCCATGAGATGGATTGATTTAGTGACGGGGTAATGGGGGTAAGTGTGTCAGAGACAGTAAGATTGGCTCAGGACAGAGCAGGGTTCAGAACTGTTGCACACAAGGTCACTATGAGACACAAGCAACTTGACAGCACATAAACACCAAAACAACATCTAAAATATGATATTTTCAACATTTAATCAACATAAAATGTATTAATAGAGCATTTAACTTTGTTCTTTTGCATACCCAAGTCTTGAAAACCTGGTCTGGAGTTCACACACCCAGGACATCTTAATTTGGGCTGTTTGCACTTGTATGCTCAGTGGTCACACAGAGGAGGTGGTTACAGTTTGGGACAACACGTCTACACCATTCACAGTTAATGGATCAGCCATGGCTCGGCTTACCACCTACTGACTGAGCATACAACAACTAATACTAACTATAATAATTAGTATTTTATTATTGTTAAAGCTCACAT